GCCCCCCATCTCCAGACCAGGCATTGCTGGGGCTCACCACAAAGACCCCCCGGGGTGCAGCACCCAGGTTGCCTGGGGGTTGGGGGGCGCAGGCTGCCTGATAGTCGTAGGACTCTTTGCGGGTGTAGAAGGAGTTATTGTAGAGTGCCAGCATCAGGTTGGCATCCACCTCACTGAAGAACCTGCCCACCTGGGAATGCCAGGAGGGAGTGGTAGTCACAGGGTTGGCAGTGCCACAACCCCAGAAAGCTCAAACCTTGGCCTCCTCCTTCTACCCTCTCCCTGACCCTCACCTGGTCCCACTGATGATTCTGGTTTGACAGCACCAGGAATCCCCCATCATCAATGAGGACACAGAGCAGGTCCTGAAAGGTGGAGAAGGAGGGGGAAGATGGAGAGGGGCTCAGGCCCAGACCTTCCTCCCCAGACCCTGGCAGTCGGGTGGTTGGGTAGAAGGGGCACCACTCCCCCAGTTGTGGTAAAGCTGTAAAGGGTGGGATGTTGAGACCCCCAGGCCAAACGATAGGCTAGGAGTTGCAGTTGGGATTAAGAAATCAGGGATCAGGGTAAGCTAGGGTTTGGGGCACACACACCTCATTGTTAACCTCGCAGTCCATCTCACAGTGGCTGCTGGGACCACACTGCTGGGCAGAGAGCAAGGACCATAAGGTGCCCGCCAGTTTTCCCCCTCCCATCACCCTTTGTACATCTAGATCCCCAGGCCATCTACAACAACCACTGCCTCCCCATAGACACAGGAACCACTCTGAGTGGTAAGGATTTCCGGGAGACTCTAGAATGGGTTTTGCTGGGCTTACTGCCCCCACACCTGCCCAAGTACCTTCTGAGGCTGGTCCTGGTGGGTACGGTTGCTGGCTAGCACCTTGAACTTCTCGGCCCAGGCCTCTAGGTCCAGCTTAACACCTACCACTATAGAGGAGAGCAAGGGGTCATCAACGCCCGCCTTCCTGGGCAGCACCCTGCCCATCGTCTCTTTCTCCACCTCCACCCCAGGCATTCACCTGCTGGCCTCAGTGTGCGTCCACCCAGGCTGAGCTCCACAGCTGTGCTGACGAGGATGCCCACTGTGTCATTCTCCAGCTCCAGTGGCCTTAACAGGGCTGGCGGTGGGGTGGGATGGTCAGGAGTAGGGGCTGGTGGTTACACTGACCACTCTGTGCTGGGCCTGTGGACCCAGGGGCCCAAGCCAAGTACCCAGTACCCAATGTAGTGTTTGGTACAGCCTAGCTCTCTCTCCTCATCTGCCCCAGTCTCAGCCAGCCTCATGTTTGAGAGGGGCCTCAGAGAGCAGAGCCTAGTCTTGGCTGAGCAGACAGGGAAGCCTCAACTTCCCATCTGCTGCTGGGCAACTTGGAGAACACTCACCGTCCTGGTGCGGGGGCTTGAAGACATAGCCATGGTTGTCCAGGCTACGACGGTAGAAGCTGGCATTGAAGGGCTCTGGATTCTCCGTCCAGTCATCCGCTGCTCTGGTTATCCGACAAAGACAGAGGTCAGTAGAAGGGGTGGTGTATGGGGGACAGTGTCTCAGCCAGGTGCAAGGAGGCCTATGGGAAGCAGGACAGAGGCAGGGTCCCAGACAGGGGCAGGGTGTTGGGTGGCAGGGTTGGTTACTTACTTGTTGGGGAATACGCGAGTGATGCCACCATCAGTGGCAGCGAACACGGCCAGAAGGCTGTACCTGGGGGGCAGCAGGGAGGTGAGTCACAGGCTTGCCTTCTGCAGGGCAGGGCCAGGGCCTCTGGGCCCATCCCAACCTCCTGCTCCCACAGGCTGGGTGATGCCTACGTGTTGAGATCCTGGTCCCGCCACACACGCTCCACCAGCTGCTGTGTGATGCCTGTGTCCAAGATCAGGTTGTGCAGAAGGAAGTTGTTGCCTAGAACCGGAGGTTAGGGGTGGAGGGGCCATCTTCTTGTGGCTCCCTGCCCACTCTCCCCCATATACCCAAGGCTCCAATAGGAGCCTTTCCCACTATTTGGCCCAGGTCCTGCCCTGGGCTTGGGTCTGCATCACACCTGCCCGGTCTCTGGGTTCTTTTGGGCTGCCCCCTTGTGGCCTGGGCACTGCCCAGACCCGGCTGCCCCACTAGGCACTCACACTGCTTGGAGTCTGGAGTCACTTTCTCCATGAGCTCAATGAAGTTTTTCAGGAACTCGGTGTTGTTGTCTGAGGCATTCAGGTCCTTGCAATACTCTCTGGGGGTGGGGAGGGGCAAGAAGAGTGGGCTTGGGGGGCTGGACAGAGCAGTAGGGTTGAGGTTTCTCAACAGGCCTGCCTGGCCATTGGCTGAGAAGCCTGCGCCTTTGGCAGGGGGTGTGTATTCTTACAGGCTGCCACCTCTGAATAGGGGCGGAGCTGACACAAGAGTGATGGTCTGCTTCCTCCAATCTGGTAGGTTCTCCCTCCAGGGCATAGCCCTGGACCCTGAGGGCACACCTGGGAGGCCCCAGGAGATGCCTCATGGCTGGCCCATCCACCTGTATGCTGTGGCGTTCCCGTGGGCACACGGTGGGTGAAGTACCGGCGCTGACTTAGCCTAAATATAAGACTTCAACCTGCCGCTTCCTAGCTTTGCACCTTTGGATGACTCACTTAAGCTCCCCAAGCCTCAGTTTTTTCCATACCACAGAGGGTGTCAGGAAGTCAGTGGGAACACGTGGGTCCTCAGACTGGCTGCTCCTTCTGCTCGGAATGCTCTTCCCCTAGAGGCGGACAGTCCAAATCCCTCACCTCCTCAAGGCCCTCACTGGGCTCAGGCTCTGGCTCCAGAGAACATAATGTGGGAGTTTTGGGGCATGGGAGGCCTGCTTCAGGCTCTGTTCCCCCAGGAAGTCTTGGTGAGCAGTCCTTCCACCCTGGTAGATGGAGCTATCTCTCCTGCCTAATCCTTCCTTCACACAGCTGCCACTAGAGACCTCCCCGCTGGCCTGAATGCAGCAACTTTGTGGGGATTATTAAAATGCACTGCTTCCCTACACCATGCTAGGGTGCACAGTTTGGTAAGGGCAAAGCTGGGGGCAAGCTGGGTTTCAGCCCCCACTTGCTCTCTGGCCCCTATGGCCTTTGTACAGTGCACAACCTGTACTTCTGTGGTGGGGGGCACAGCTGATACATCCAGAGTGATGCCCACAGTTGTGCTTCAGATACAGTTCCCCCACAGTGCCCCCAAGAGTATGTACATTTACATTTGTGGGTTACTTCATTCACTCACCCAACATGTATTTATTGAGCTCTCCCAAGCCAAAGATACAGAAGTGACAAAAACAAACATAGTCCCCTCCCTCAGGGTCATGTAGGCCATACAGGCCTTTTCACTCATTCCCACAGTCACTAATGCACACAGCCCACTCCGTATTTACACTCAGACTCTTACAAACATACACAATTACTCACAAACACAAACACACATCTACAGAGAGAGAAATTTGTGGGTGCATGCACACACGTGCACACACATGGAGGTTAGGAATGTCCAGAGCCCCCGTGTGGTGCCTGAGAGTGCCCATGGGTCTCTGTCAGTTGCACCCACCTGCCCTCATCCAAAGCCAGGTCACAGGGAAGGGCTTCACCACCGGGGGAGCTGCTGGCCTCCTCACTTTGGGCCAACAGGCAGAGCGTGTATACCCAAGGATGTGTGTGTGCACGCTGAGTGTGCACTTGAGGGATGGTCCAGGCCCGGGCCTGCACTGGGCCCTGACCCTTCACTTGCCAGAGCACCTCTTTAAAGCCCTTGTACCCTCTACCTCCCCCAGTCCTCTGTGAGCCATCACACCTAAACTCAGCACTGCTGACAGGGGCTCTGGCTGGCTCATCCCCAGACCCACACAAACACTGAATGACACAGGACAAGGACGAGGTGCAGGGTGGGAGTTGGGGAGGGTACCACAAACCAGAGCAGCAGCTGCCCAGTCACGAGTGTGCTGTGGACAGCCCGCCCAGGGCAGAAAGGGCTCCTTCCTGGTGGCCCGGGAGGGCAGGGAATATCAGCAGAGTCCAGAGCCCTCCTGCCCCAGGCCTGGTGGGGGCTGGAGCTGTGGGCAGCTGGCCACTGCTGCCTGGTGCGGCTGCATGGCCCAGGGTATGCACATGGCCGCACATACGGGGCTATGCATGGGGTGGGGGGCGACACTGCACAGGACACACACACACAGAGCTCCAGGCAGCAGTGCAGGAGGCGGGGCCGGGGCGGTTGGGGTTGGGGAGGACACCTCAGCAAGGCCACACGCAAGCTACCTGGGAGCAATGAAAACATGTCCTTCAGACTCAAAGCTGCTGGGGAGCAGGAACTCAAAATCTGCAACAGAAACGGGGGGTTATCCGGCGGGGGCTGGGGAGGCAGGAGGCCAGGGGGCTCAGAGCTGACGGGGCTGGAGGGACAGGGCAGAGGGTGGCTTGAGGGAGGGGGAGACACCAGCAAAGAGGGAACCCGCCACTTCCACGTTCGAGCCAGAGAGAAGGGGCGGGCAGAGAGAAGGGGCGGGCGGGGAGGGGTGGAGGGCCTGTGGAGACTACAGCATCGCAGGAGGAGGGCAGTTATAGCCAATATGTTGCCCAGGCCTGGTCCTCTGTCGGCAGTGAGTCCCGTGGCGTGGCTGTATATGCTTCCATACGGCTGTATAGCACATATACACGGACACACACACACACATATATATACACACACTGCTATATATATGCATGGTCTGGGGGAGGCGCCGGTCTCGCTCTTATCACATCCGTAATGGAAAAAACCGCATGCTGAGCTTCCTTTGCCTCCAAAGAGACTTTGAGGAAGGGAATTGGCTTTTGGCCGCGGATTTTTATCTCTCTTTCTTTGCTGCAGCTGTTTGCATTTTGGTAGGTCTTGCTTTTGTTCTGTGTCAGGCATCAACATGGCCAAACCGAGGGAGTTTCTCACGGGCACAGACAGTCCAACCAGAGACGGTGTGGGCAGCTGGGGCTGGGCTGCAGTGCATTGTGGGGGTCCAGTGCTCTTTCTTGGGCTGGGAGGCTGGGTGAGGGGAGACTCATGCCTGAGAATGTTCCCATGCTGTGGAGGAAGGTGTGGGAGATAGGAGGACTCAGGAATGCTGCACAAACCTGTACACCTGCCCTCTTGGGCTGGGAGCATGAGGCCAGGCAGGGAAGAAGGGTGGGTCTTTACCTTTCCTAGGACCTGTCTGGGTTCAGAGCAGCCAAAGAGGAATGCTGTGGCTCCAGAGAAGGAGTGCTCTTAGGGACCTATCAATTAGACCTGTGCATGGTGTGAGAGTGAGTGCGTATGTACATGGGAAAACATGTGTGTTTGCATACCTGTGCAGGTGTACAAGTGTCTCTGTGTGGGTTTGTGAGTGAATTTGGGGTTCTCTGTGGCCTCTCCCGGCCCAGATGGATCAGCCACCTGGCAGGTCTGCATCTTGGAGCCATGCCCCTGCCCCTTGGTGTGTTGCACTCTGGGCAGCCCACCTTCCAATCCTGTCTTCACCAAGGTATGATCTCTCTGTCACCCCAAGGCTTATTTTTGCAGAAGAGGGGTCTTCTCTGTTCCCAGATACTCCCACAATGCACTGCAAGATTCGGGGAGGTGGGCTTGGGGTGCCTGCAGGAGCTGGGCAGTCACTGGTTGGACTGTTGCTTTCTGATGGGACTGTGAGGCAGGGTTTGGACACAAGCCGACAGGGAACGGGTGCGGGGGAGGGGAAGGAGGAGAAAGAAAAAGTAGGTGGGGAGCAGGAAGGGAGACTAGGCTATAATTGTCATTGTTACCAGGGCCCTGCATTTCTGGGGTCAGTGGGAGGGATGTGGAAGGGGGAGAAAAGACAACTCAAGCCAGTGGGAGTAGGGCCTGTCCCCCACCCCCACCCAGGCCAGTGGTGCCAACTGTATCCCCTTTGCTGGACTATGCTGGACAGGGCCCCTAGGGCTTCTTGGGGAGCCCTGGCTTCCAGGTCATGGGGACTGGGGACAGGAACCCCCCCTTGTGGCTCTCCATGCCTATCTGTCCAGGCAGGGGTATCTGCCCCTGTGGCAGAGACCCTCACATGCTGCCCTCTCTCACCCTCCTTGTTCTCCACCAGAGTCTGTGAGTTCAGTGCCTTTCTTTTTCAGGAATGTCTCGCTTGGGTACCCCTAAGTGCCAGAATCTTTTTGTTCATACACAGACTGATTCCCTCTAAGCTCTTTTGCTGGCCCTTGGGGTCCAGACATGGTTCCTTCCATTCCTGTCTAGGCTCACTGTCCCTGAGTCTGCTTTTATTTCCCAGGGGAATACCTTCTCCACACCTGACCCTCTGCCCCAGGGGCAGCAAGTACCAGGGTTGGGCTGGGCCAGTGGACCTTAGCAAAGTCTCTGAAGGCAGTGGGGGGCACCAGGACACAGGGGCTGCAGCACCTAGGCTGGTGCCCAGGATGGCTGGGCCTGCCTGGCTCTCCCAGTGGCATGGCTGCTGCCCTATCCTGCCCGTCCCAGAATCAGGGTGTAGGGCTTCCAAAGCCTTCCGACACCCCTTGGAGGGCTGCCAACTTCTGGACCAACTGCCAGAGATCACAGGAGGGAGAATATCCCAGACGAAGCCTCATGTGGCTGGCACTTTCCTTTACCCTAAGCCTCACACATAAGCCCCACTGAAGACTGGTCTAGCCCTGCCTATCAGGCCCCCTGTCCTCCTGGGTGGGAGGTGGTGGAGAGGCATCCAGCCCTGTTCCCACTGTTGAGTTGTCTTAGAGGGACAGAGAAGGTGGGGGCGGGCAGGGGCCTGCCCAGAGGGAGAGAGGAGGATGAGGAGGGGGCCTGAGCTCTCAGAACACGCCGGAGACCACCCTGCAGGCAGGGCCAGGAGAAGGGCCCCTGGCTGTAATAGGGGTTTAGGGATGAGGGAAAAGGCAAGAACTCGAGGAGCCAAGGGGATGCTGGGAGGGAGCCCTGGAGAGCAGGGGTTTGGCTGGTCCTGGGCAGGGAGGGGGGCAAGCAGGGGTGTGAGGGTGGGTGGGGTGGGGAGAGGAGGGTGCACTGGTTCTGAATATACTTGCCCTTCAGTTTGCTGATTGGCACTGGGACAGTCCACCAAGAGAGAAAGCGAGGAAAACAAAAACAACACAAACACAAAAACAAACGAAAAGGGGGAGGGGAAGGGGAGGGGCACAAACAATATTTTATTCAATGGCTGTTTGAATGAAAATATTGTGTCTCATCATCATACCGAAAGGAAACTTCTTGCAAAAAAACGACATGAGAGAGAAAGAGAGAGCGAGAAAACTCAAAGGAGATGAGCCCCAGTCGGCCAGGCAGGTGGGGGGCGCCCGGTGGGGCCAGAGCCCCAGCCTCCCTCCCAGTGACCTCAGTCGGTGGGCAGGCGGGGCCACAGGCTCCAGAGGCCTCTTGGGGGAGGCCCAGGGTGAGCAGAACATGCAGGAATGAGCCACAGGCAGAGGAGTGGACCAGGGAGGGAAGGAAGGAGAGAGGTCCAGAGAAGAAGAGAGGAGGAGAGTGAAGGGGAGGAAGAGGTAGGGAGGGTGGGAGATGCAGGGATGAAGGGGGGTGGAGAGAGCAGAGAGAGGGAAGGAGGGAGGAAGAGAGAGAAAGTAAAGGTGCTGGGGCAGGAGAGAAACGGAAGGAGCAGAAGGTAGAGGGAAGTGGGGAGACAGAGAAGGTGGGGGTGCAGGGAAGGGAAAGAGAAGGAGGAAGGGAGGGAGAGGGAGGGGAGAGGGGGAGAGGAGGAGGAGGGAGAGAAGGCAGCAAGAGAAATGGAAGGGCAGAGAGAGTGAGGCAGTGGGGGCTGGAGGAAGGTGAGAGGGGCTGATGAGGGGGGCGGAAAATGGGGGAGGATGAATGAGGAGGTCAGAGGAGGGGGAGAGAGAGACCCTGGGGGGGTGGCACCACAGGGGAGAGAGCTGCAGGGCACAGGGGGAAGGAGAGATGAGAAGAGGGGGTGTCTTCCAAGAATGCAGCCCCCAGAGGTGTGCGGGGGAGGCAAGCTAAGGAGGGAAGACACGCAGTAGGAGAAACTAAAACCAAAAACCTCAACGGAAATCATGAGAGAATGGTCTGGAACCAAATCTGAGAAAAGGCAGGCATGCAGATTTCCACAGACTTTCCGATGGCTGGTGCCCCAGCCTGCGGGTGCCTGGGGGTGGGCAGACTGGGCAGGAGGGGCTGCCTTGCCGCCAGCGGCTGGCTATGCTGCCTGGGGCCGGCGGCCAAGGTGCGGGGCAGAGGCAGGGGTGCAGGGCACAGGCAGGGGCCGGGCCACTTACACTTGACCTGCAGGATCTGGTCACTGAGGTTGGCTTGGAGGTAGAAGGTGCTGTAGGGCGGGAGCACAAGCCCTAGGCTGGGGATGAGGGGAGGAGAGGAGCATATGTCACTGCTGGGGAGAGGTGGGCCACATTGGCATTCAGCACCCCCACCTTGGAGCTGGGCAGAGAGGCCCAGGCTGTGAAGTCCCCTCTCCTGACCACCAGGGCCACCTTTCCCTGTTAGTTGTGGGAGATTCACTCCCTAAACTCTTCTGGAGGCCTCAGAACTCCCAGCTCCAAAGCAACTCGCCACACCCCCCACATCCCCAGCAGCCTCCCCCAACACATCATGTGCCCAGCCAGCCTCCTCTATCTGGCCAGCAGCAAACTCAAAAGGGACAGAACACTGTCTGTGAGCTAGGCTGTTGGGTGCACAGCCATGGGAGTGGGGTCCCTCAGTCCTAGAGACCTAGGCCACATGAGAGCCGTCAAAAAGCAGGGCTGGTGCTAATACCATGAGGAGCAGTCACGAGCTGGGATTGGGGTGTGAACGAGACCAGCTCTTGGGGGCACAAGGAGACAGCCTGTACTGCCTGGGCCTGACCCAGAAGGGTACCTGCTCTGAGGCTGTGGTGCCTGTTGAGAGCAGGCCTGGGGATGTGCTGAGGGTGACATCCTGGGTGCAGATACCCAGGGATACAGTCCAAGCAGGGGTGACATGGGAGAGAGTGGTGTGGCATGGGGAGACATCAGATGCACTGTCTTGTCTCTGTCCAGTTCTTGAAGGGCCAGCAAAAGGCCCTTGGGGGACCGAGAGTCCTGGGGTGAGTAGTGAGCAGTTCTGGCTGCTGGTGCCCCACTGGGATCATGGCTGCAGTCGTTGAGAACACACAGACTGGGCAAGCACAGGGCTCAGACTCTGGGCTCTGGGGCTGCCCCACCCCTCCCTGCCTACCCAGCCCTGACCCACTCACCTGTAGTTGGTGCTCCTTATAGGTACCCAGGTGTAGTTCCGCATCACCTCGTCTACGTACCTCTGGGAGAAGAGGCTGAGTCAAGTACTTGGGACAGTAGGCAGGGGTGGGGTGGAGTACGGGAGGATGCCCACTCTGACTCTGTGCCCCGATACCATCTTCTCACCTCGTCCAGGGACTTGACCAGCGTTCTGATTTGCTTGTGGCCCTTGTTGCCATCGATCATGCTCCGACGGATCTGGAAGGACCAGAGATGTGAGGGATGGGGTCCCTACTCTCTGCTGCTCTGGGTACCCCCATCTCTACTCCTCTCCTTTTCCTTACCTCCTCTTTGTTCTCATCCTCCAGCTCAGCATCCAGGAAGTCCAGAGTCACAGGCTCCCGGAAGTTGGTGGTCTGTGGGAGGCAGGGCAGGAAGTCAGGGGTCCCCATCCCGTAGAGTTTACCCTCCTCCTGGCCACCCCCCTGGCTCACCTGGGGCTTGAGGTTGGGGTGCAGCAACACGTAGCCGTTCAGGTCAATGGCAAACACATAGCCGTTAGCTCCAAGCTGGGGGCGTAGATTGGGAGCTCAGGGCCTGGAGGGCTAGGCAGGGATTCTCTAGACTCTCGAGCTCTTCCTCAGCCTGCTTTCAATACCACTGAGGTTTGCCTGCCTGGGCCAGGGGCCCCCACATGCAGTGTGACCTCGAGCCTGTTTCTCAAGCTGTTTCTCAAGCTCAAGTCCAGCAGGCTGGTATCCTGTGTGCACCAGCTCTTGCTGAGGCTGACCGGCATCATGGGACCACAATTTGATTTGGCCTTCTGCCCCAACTACCCCTGTTTGTCATGGAGCTGTCAGTCAGCCAGACTGCTCTGCCTCCACTGGCCCCTCAAGGCTGCTGTTACCCTCTCCTCCCCTCCCCACTAGTGTCTCCTCCTGGTTGCCATCTCAGTAGAGTGCATAGGGAAGAGAGTGCCCTTGGAATTCCTGGGTACCCCTTCCAGGTGGAAGTGAAGGATGAGTGAATGGGACTCTGGACTCACCCTTAGCTCTCTAGACTGTTTTCTCACTGCACATGGGGGCCAATGACATGGGGCCTTCATGTGGCTCAGGTGTAGACATGCTGTCACACACATCCCACCCCTACCCCTTTCACAACCAAACCTGAAACTGCCTTCAACACAGGCGCTGGGCCAGCCACACTGACCTTGCCCCCTCCCTGGTTTATGATTTTGTTTTTCACCTTTAGTCCTTTGCCCACAGAGTTTCCTGTAACTCCAAGGTACACCTCCTATCTATTTGACAGTCCAGGGGTCAGCAAACTATGGCCCATGGGCTATACCTGGCCCGCCACCTGTTACCGTATGGCTAGGAATGTTTCTTTTTACATTTTTTTTTAAATTTTTTTTCAATGTTTATTTATTTTTGGGACAGAGAGAGACAGAGCATGAATGGGGGAGGGGCAGAGAGAGAGGGAGACACAGAATCGGAAACAGGCTCCAGGCTCTGAGCCATCAGCCCAGAGCCCGACGCGGGGCTCGAACTCACGGACCGCGAGATCGTGACCTGGCTGAAGTCGGACGCTTAACTGACTGCGCCACCCAGGCGCCCCTCTTTTTACATTTTTAAGTGGTTGAAAAAGACCAAAATGGAATTTTATTTCATGACATGTGAAAATTATGTGAAATTTAAATTTCATGATCCACAAACAAAATTGTATTCAAACACAGTCATGCCTATTTATTTGTTTTGTCTGTGGCTGTTTTCGCAGTTCAACAGCAGAACTGAGGATGAGTATTTACGCTGGCAGAGCCTATAATATTCATAGTCTAGCCTTTCACAGAAAGTTTGCCAACCCCAGCTCTAGGCCCAAGGTCACCTCCTCTGGAAGCCTCTCCTGACTGCCTGAATTCAGAGGTGTCCCTGGAGGTGCTGTAATCCCCATTAGACTCCTCTGCTGAGCCTGGCTTGTGTCCCTGTGGGGAGGCAGAGCATGGTGGATGGGCAGATGAATACTTACCGTGTAGTTTGGAGTGAGCCTCTTAATGTCATTCAGAGCCACATCGATGCCCATCACACCCAGGATCAGCTGGTTCTGGGAACAGAGGCATGGGGTCTGAAATGGGTTCAATTCCATGGGGAAGCCCCACTGTCCAAACCTCACGCCCAGGGCCTCAAGCTGTTCACAAATAGTTGCCCCTGTCCAGGCTGAAGGCCTGTCTGTCCCTCCTCCATCCCAGACCTGCTAGGGCATGCCTAGTTGTTCCCGAGTGGGGAATCTTACCTTCTTTTCCCCAGGGCCATCCTGTGTCAGGTTGAAAACAGGGAGGGTCCCTGTCACCACTAACCCCAGCCCCTGAAGGGAGAGGAAGAGGATGGGTTAGAGGATGTGGCCAGCCATGCCCTACCCTGAGTGTTCAGAGGATGGGCTCAGGCACAGGTCCCATTTTTTCTTCTGTTTGGTTTATTCCCATATGGGGGCCCTTAAGGAACATGACCTTGTGGACACATCTGTGGGGGCCCAGAGGCCTTACCAGTGCATCCTCATACACGTTGGTCCACTGCACCTGCTTGGCCTCCTTGCCTGCCAGTACCATGGGCCTGCCCAATACATCCAGATATTCCTGGGGAGAAGGTGACAGGGGTCACGAGTTCACATGCCCACTGCACCTTCCCTGTTCTGCCTCCCGGCGTATCAGCACGTCACCAGAGGGCGCTCTCACATCACAGCAGCCCACTGTTCACGCAGTGCCCAGGAGGCAAGGTGCTGGGAGGTGGAGGCCGGGAGGTGCCCTACAGTCTCACCTGTGTGTTAATGCGGATGGCTCCAATGGAAGGGATCTCAAAATAGTAACCTGTGAGGGAAGAGGACGCAGTAGTGGGTCTGGGTGGTACATGGGATCCATGGCACAGGGGCTTCTGTACCCTGGGATGTCAGCAGCCCTGGACTTGTCCCTCAGGACTCCTCTCTTTCTGGTGTCACTCCCCCCCAAACTCTTATCCCTTTAGTGCTCCCTTCCACTGCCCTGTCAATTGGACTGATGCTAGGGAAGGGGTCATGAGTGTAGGGGTGTAAGGAAGCAGAGGCAGGGTGAGGTCCCTCTTGCTAGGATGGTAGTGACATTCAGAGTCCACCCAGAGGCCAGGCCCAAATATATGGAGAGGTAGACTGACCAGCAAACAGACACAAGAGCAGATCAGACAGGAGATGGATGGACAATGGACAGACAGATGGGCAGAAAGATGCTTAGTCATATGGACAAGTTACATGGCCAGACAGAAAGATGGATAGTCACATGCACAGGAAGATGGGCAGTGGGTAAACAGGCAGCTGGAAAGCTGGACGTACGGATGGACATGTGGACAATCAACCCAATGGACAGCAGGGCATGGCAGGCAGGCCCTGAGGCAGTGACGCTGGATGTGGTACCTTTGTTGGCGCAGGCCATCCACTGCAGGGGTGTGACGTCGTAGTTGTGTTGCCCCACGGAGAAAGTGAACACACGCACCTGTTTGGGGCTTGGGGTTACTGCTGTGGCCACCAGATGACAGCCCTCCCCTGAACCGGGCCCAGGTCAGGGTGGCCCCCGCCTGGGCTGAGCCTCACCGTCCGGTTGGGCCAATTGTATTTCTCAAAGACATCCTGCACGCGGTCCTCACCACCATCCGTGAACATCATGATCATCTTATTGCAGTTGGCACGAGTGATGTTGGACTGGTCAGGAGTAGGTTTGGGGTCAGGCAGCTCTCGGCCCCTCCCCGGTCCAGGGGTGGGTCTCCCTCCCCCTGGAAGTCCTGGCCCTCAGACCCTCCTCCCCACAGAAGATGGTGCTTCTGCCCGAGCTGCCTGTTGGGCGCTAACAAGGCCATTCGTCTTGATTTCCCCGGTGTCACCAAGCCCGGGCCTTTGCCTGTCCCCAGCCACCCGCTCACCCACCCACGGGGCTCACGTTCTGCAGCTGGTCGAAGGCATACTCAAAGCCGGCCTTGTAGCCTGTGGTGCCCTTGGCCACCATGCCCTGCACAGCTTCCTTGAACACCTTCTTGTTACGCACATTGGCCTGCACCAGGTGTGTGAAGCATGACACAGGCTGTGCCTTTTCATTGAACTGCAGGGACAGTGAGGGTGGTGAGTGGCCTCAGGCTGGCCAGGGCAGTCAGCTGTTGCACGGTGAGGGGGTGGTGTGTGTATGACCCATTCCTCACCCGCCTACCACCTTGGCACTCACCGAGGCCACGTTCACATAGTCATCATCAGAGAGCGTGTCCAGCATCTCACAGACGGACGTCTTCATCAGCTTCAGGGTCAGGCCACTCACGCTGCCGCTCCTGGTAAGGTCATGGAGGCACTAGGTAGGCCTTAGGCATTTTCCTGCCGTTCCCTGATGAGTGTTCCCAGGCAGCAGATGGTCACCCCTTGCTTCCCCCCACCCCTTCTGCCAGCACTGCTCACTCACACATCCACGATGATGACCATGTCCTTGGGCGACGAGGCCCCCTGGATATACCTGCCCGGGAGAAGCCTCAATTAGGGCCAGCCTCCCTGGGACTTTGTGGGTCCTTTCTTCCTCCACCCATATATTGATTCAACATTGTTTCTACTGAGCATCCACTGCAGGGGCCAGACAGGGTCCTAGGCACCAAGGATATCACACTTAAAAAAACATGTCCTTGCCCATGACATGAGTGACCCTGAGCCAAAGGAGGCGTGAGCAGGTGATCCAGAGAGGGGGTAGAAGGTATGTCCCCTGGCCCAGGATGAGGGCCCAAGGTCTGAGTCCCAGCTGTGTGCAGGAATGAACAGGTGGCAGGGAAAGAGGATGTCATGGGGTACTGCAGGAGAGGCAGAGCAAAGGGTGAGGTGTCCAGGGTTCAGATGGGTGGTGTGGGGCTGGCCAACCGACATCCACTCTTGGGAACCCCCACTGGCCCAATCCCTCAGTCCCAAGGGGGTGGAGTGCCGGGCAGTGGATGGGGGGCAGAGGCAGCTGGGAGGCCTGCCTGGGTGATGGGATCCATTTTCCAGTGGCAACGATGTGTGAAATGAAAATTGGATAGAGCTGGCTGCGCCCTGCTCTGAGGCCTGGATATCGGGAGGGAGGGGAGCAGGCAGCAGAGGTGGGGGAACTGAGGGGGTGTCCCTTCCCAGCTCCTCCTTGCTCACTCACCAGGGTCTCCTTCGGACATCGTACAGGTCGATTTTCTTAGGGGCTCGCCATGGGGTGGCTGTGGGAGGAGAGGAGGTGAGGGGGTCTAGCAGGGAAGGGCCCTGCAAGGATAGGCAGCCTTTGCAGGAGTGGCTCCTCCACAGCCCACAGGGTTGACTACCCACCCCACACACCTCAGGATAAGTGGGCTGGGTGATGGAGGAGGGTTGGGTGCTGAGTGGACAGGAGAGACGGGCTGACACTTACCTGGATAGTAGCGAGTGACTCCTGTGGCACTGCCAAAGACCTGCCACAGCAGTGTAGGGTCCTGCCTGCGGTTCTCGATAAACACATTCTCCAGGGCCTCTGTCCAGTTGAGTTCATTAAGGATGACAGTGGCTGCGGGGGAAATGGGGGGGGGG